CTGCCACAGAGCACTACTTGAGGCAAAGGTTTTTCTGGAGGCCATGGTGTTGGAAGAATTTGAGGTAACTTTGGTATACTCGGAGGTGAAACAGCACACACAACACAAAAAACACCTCCGGGTACTCAGCACCTAGAGCCATTCTTGGCACACGGCAAATATTTATTGAGGACCTACTATGTGTCAGGCACTGTGGTGGGCAGTAGGCTTGCAGTCACAGACAGACAAGGCGAAATCCCACCCTCATGGGCCTTGTAATCTAGTACATTATTCTAATTAGTCTTAGCTCACCCACCTGTACCAGTATGAAGGGCAGCTTGATTTAAGGAAAAGTTGAAATTACAGACTTAAAATAATTCTCTCTAAATCTGGAGTTACGTAAAGAAGCTATACTACTAAGTGGCCTTGTAAAGACATCGTTAATGAATAGATAAAGATGATGAGTAGATCAAAGCAGCTTAGTCCCTGTTTATATTCCATTGATTTGGCTTATATGTAAATGATGCTTCTAATCTGTTTGAAAATGGTTCCTTCTCCGAAGTCAGTAAACCCTCTCAGTGAAATTTGTTTGCACAATTAATTAACATCCGTGTTTAAGGTTCATTTGGTAGTGTGTCACAGCTTAATGTCAGAGCTCTTTGTCTTGGGTTATCAGCTTCTAGAGCAGCGGTTCTCAACCTGTGGGTCGCGACCCCTTTGGGGGTCGAACGACCCTTTCACAGGGGTTTCCGGGTACTCGTATGTGGGCGTATCTGTATGTGGGCCTGGAGACGGATAGAGGAGCGATGTCTCGGTTCCTAAGACCATCGAAAATATGTGTTTTCCGATGGTCTTAGGCGACCCCTGTGAAAGGTTGAGAACCGCTGGTCTAGAGCAAAGCACGTTATCTGTTTAACTTGCTGAGTATGTGACTCTACAGCCATGCCACAGGTGCATAAATGCTTTTATTTATTTTTTAAAACTTTATTTTCAATTACAGTTGATATGCAGTATTATATTATTCAGGCGTGCAACATAGTGATGAGACATTTATATACCTTATGAATTAAATATTACTCAGCCATAAAAAAAAGGAAATTTTACCATTTATGTGGGCAACGTGGATGGACCCAGAGGGTATGGTGCTAAGTGAAATTAGCCAGACAGAGAAAGACAAATACCATATGACCTTGCTTATGTGGATTCTAAAATACGAAGTAAATGTACAAACAGAACAGAAACAAACTCATAATTGTTTTTAAAGGTGAGAAGGGTAATGGCAACAATCATATCGATGATGGCAATCCCCCGTACGTGGTTCGTTCTCTTCCCAGAAGAATACCTGAAGGGAAATACTTGAAGCATGAAGGGAAGGGGAGCCATTTTTTTTTTCTTTATGATCTCCAGGAATGCCTCGAAAGGATGGAATGATTAGACTTTTTTCCACTTAAACATGTTTTGAGAATATAAGAAAATGCTTGTAGGTGAGTGTTAGCAGAAAGAGAACAGACTCAATAGAATTTGGAAAGATAAAAATGTGGATGGAGGAAATGAAGAGGAATTATGGGAAATTAAGCTGGGACAGGGTGAGGCGGGCTTGTCATACTGGATTCGTTCTGCAAATAGCTATAGGCGTGCTGTGTTCCAGGCACTGCCGTAGGCGCCACTGCAAGGGACAGCCCACAGGAGCTGGGTGGATGCTCTGGGCCACACCCCTGAAAAAGAAGAGGAGGGAATATCCTGATCCCCATAAACTTTAGGCTCCCGTGAAAGTGTTTGCCTGGCGTTTGGCCTCCTGTGCTACAAATGTTGTTCCCTTCTGCTCAGGATCCCGGCTTACCCTAGTCTGGGTAAAAGAAGGGTGTGTGGTGTCCGTTATGGTGGGTGCCCATCACCACCCATGCCCATCCATCTGTGCGTTTCTGAACTGCATCACGGAGATTTCTCCTCTGTGGGTAGTGCCTCCTGAAGGCAGGGGATTTGGTGACGTCCTCAGACTTGCAGTTCAGAAGTAGACTTGCTCGTCTGACCAGATTCTCTCTCTTATGCTGTAAAGGCTGGAGTTTTAGTTCTTCTCAGTCCTTGATTTGAAGTCATCTGTCTCTTATTCAGCACTATTTTTCAAACCCAGTAGCAGGATATTTTGATCTCTCTCTCTCTCTCTCTCTCTCTCTCTCTCTCTCTCACTCACACACACACACACACACACACACACACACACTCACACGCTCACACTCACACACTACTTGGCTGATGTCAACCAGGTCCTATTGTCTACATTTAGTTTAATTCTAAACTTTCTCTTCTTTGGT